ATTTACTTTATGTGTGGTCCCCGATTGTCTTCGTGTCCAGTTATTACCGCCAAAAGCCTGCTGATGAAATCAAAATATGGGCGAAGTATTTTCATAACCACCGCCATACACACACACACACACAGCTACACGTACACTGCGAAAATCCAGGGGGATGAGAACTTTACAGCTCGTTTTTGAGGTACGCAACGATGTCCTGCGGCGGCCTTTTGGGCCCTCCAATGAACATGAACATTTGAAACGAATTCGGTTCTCATTCCTTTTTTTTATGCTTTATTTTTTCGCCCTTTTCTGGTATAAATTTCATTTTTGGTATGTTTAGAACGGCCAGCGGCATATTTTATGTACAACTTCAACACTCCCAGGATGTGTGTGTGTGTGTGTGTGTTATCGCACTGCATTTATGTATGTATGTGGACGGATGCCTTCCACGTGGGTTACTTAATATACAAAGGCCTTTAATTTCGTCTAAAGCTAAATAAACTTTATACCCTTTGGTATCTGCCACACATCTACATATACATATATCTATATCTATCAGCATGTGTGTGTGAATTGCGTATACGTATACACCTGCGGTCATGCCGCCACCAAAGGACCTTCTCCAAAAGGACCATTCTCCAAAAGGACCATTCTCCATTCTCCGTGTGTGTTTGATGTTTGGGCTGCGTTCTTTGGCGCTCTCTGTTTTGACTGTGTCTGCTGTTGTTGTTACTGTTGTTGTTGCAATGTCCTTGGGCGAATATTTGCATGTTTTATTGTATCTGCCGCTCGCCCAGCTTAGGCTGCCACGCCCCCTTTTTGGCCCTTTGCGCCCGGGGGAGAATCCAGCGCCCTCAGTACGCATGTACCTATGTTTTTAATTCTTTACATCGATATTTGGCCGCTGGCAACGCAAAAACGCGAGCCGCTGCCAAAGGTTGATTGCCGCCCCGAAAAGGGGGTGGTGGAAATTCCAACCCAGCCCCATAACCCCCCTCCCCCTCTCATTTTGGGTCAGGGAAAAGCGGACAGCAGCGCGTTGGAGGCAATTTTCCCCCCAAAATATGCATGATATGTGTGTGCTACACCTTTTGTTATGCATTTGTTTTGATGTCGAATTCTAACTCTTGCCGCTGGGCAATCGGCACATTATTTGCACTATTTAAAGAGGGCACATTAAAGTCCAATAGTAAGGGCTAATTAAAAGAGTGCTGCATACTCTTAGGCGCGCGGTGGGTAGAAGGACTTTTCTTCAGCAGCTCACATATTTACACGCTAGTTTCCCATTACCGGGATGTGGATGTCTTGCAGTCGCAGTGCGATTTTTAATTTGCGTTATACGAGGAGTTTCCTTTTGCCTGGCCCGCGGCTCACATGTGGAATCGTTGAGGGGATGGGGGGGATGGGAGGGATAGGGAGGAGGAAGGAAAAGGACTCTGAGGATGAGGAAAGGATAAAGAAGGAGCAGGTGCAGCTGGAAGGGGTGGGGGTGAGCAGCGTAGCGTGACATCGCAGGAGCACCAAATGTCACGCTTCACTCATTTCCGTCCCATGATGTCGACGTCGCAGTCATACTCATCATCACCATCACCACCATCATCATCTTCGTCATCATCACCATCAGCATCACCATCACCATCACCATCGTCACTGCCTGCTGATGAAGCTCAATGGTTAGTGGCAGTCAACCAGGAGTTTCCCCCTGCATCGGCAAAGAAAACCACATGACAATATTGGTAGGTAGGATGCACAGAGAACAATAACATAGAGACTAATTTTATAAAATTAAAAAAATTAATTAAAATGTACTATATAAAACTATTTACAAACTAAAAACTATTATTTACAATAAAGAAGAAATGATTGACAAATGAAATTAGTAGAACTAGGTTAGCTGATTATAAGAAGCTAAGATATCAAGATATTCCGACCGAAAGTCCCAGCAACAATGGCTGTTTACCTCTGAACTCTAATTTTCAAACTTTCGGCTACAGTGAACAATAAATAAATAAAAAGAAAGGCTTAGGGATTGACCGAAATATCTTTATGCTTATTATGAATACATGTGAATATGTACATTTATAAAGTTAAGAGCGATTTAATTTTTGAATTTAGTTCATACTTACTTCTCCAATAAAATAATATTTGCCTATATTCAATGAAACAAATGTCTTATTCCAATTTTATGTCAGAAAATATAAGATATAATGAAAGATTTAAACATGTTAATAAAGTTAGTATAACAATGTGTTTCAAGGACATTCGTTTTTCTTTGTTTAGACCGCATTATTTTGCAGTGCACATAAAATATAATAAGTTTAATTCAAATTCCTTAACATTTTTTTGTTCTGTGCAGAAGGGTGGGCGAGTGGGTGAGCCGGAAGGTGATGGGGTGAACAAGGGGGCTAGTGGCAGTGGCACCCCTTCGCCGCCACTGTCCTCGTTCACGTTGCGGTTCTGGGTAGGCAACCTCTCAGCCGGAAGCACTTGAGAACTTGCAATGGCCAGCGGGCATTTGGTGCGGTTTCGTGCGTCGTTGCCCCCGTTCTCCAGTCCCCGATCCCCGATTCCCGAACCCCGGACCTCCGTTTCCCCTTCCGCAGCATCCTTGACGCCGAGTTCGCGAACTGAAAATTCCCTTCGTTTTCATTATGTTGCGGCCATGTTGTCCTTGCCTCGGCCTCGTCCTGGTCTCCTGGCCTGCTCCTCATCCCCGTTCCCCATCCCCATCCCCATCCTCCCACTGCTCCTGCCGATTCCGCTGCGGCTGCTCCTCCATCATGGTTCTTTTCAGAGACCACGCCATCATTATTATGAACACCGTTATGCCCGCCGGCCACATATTCCAATTTGTTGTTGTTGCCGCCGCTCTTATTTCTCCATCGCCAGCGGTACTCGCCTTTGTTGTTGCTCCTCTTGGTGTTCTTATATGACCGCCAAGTCTCTCTCTTTCCCTGCATACCCATCACTTTCGGTCAGGGGTCAGGGGTATGCCAGAACCAGGGGTTATCTAGTTTCTCCGCTCCTCGAATAAATATCTTTACCATATTTCAAAATCATATTAATATTATATCTATTTCTGATGAAAGAATTCCAAACTGTTTGTATCATGCGGTTTTAACTATAGGTATACATCTACTAATGTCTTATATGAGAAAATAATGTAATGTTAACCCAGAGTCGGGAATAAGTTTAGTTTCTCCGTACCTCGAATACATTTCTTCATAATATTTCAAAATCATTTTAATACTATATGAATCATGAATAAATTCTAAACTGTTGGAATCATATGTGGTTTTAAGTATTGGGTATACAACTAGTAATATCTTTTATAGATATATGGCAAAATAATGTTAATATTAATCCCAGAATCGAAGATGATATAGTTTCTCTGAACCTCAAATACATTCCTTTACAATATTTCAAAATTATTTTAATACTAAATGAATGAGGAACAAATTGTATCATATGCGATTTTAAATATTGACGTATAAATTTATTAATGTCTTATATTAATAACAAAAACTGTTTTGTGATTTTTTAAAAAGCATAAATACATTTATGAGAAAAAGAATATTTTTATTGTAATGGTTTCAGTTTTTGGATTTATAAACTTTAACTTTTTGTAACATTCATAGGATACCTTGAGAAAGACTTACAGTATCCGCAAGTTGCATTCAATCCGATTCAGGCCACCTCAGTTGTTCCCTTATTTTCGTTTATTTTGCAACATTTTGCCGCATTGCATTCGCGTTGACAAAAGTCCTGATGCCTTCGCCTCGTGTGCCATTTGTGAGTAATAAGAAGCGGATGACTGTAGGGTCTTGGCAGTTCACTTACCTGTTACCTCTTGCGACTGCAACGTCGACTGCGGCTGGAGATTGGCCTTCTGCTGCGGCACTGCGATTGCTAATAAATTCTAGATTTGGAAGGCAAACGCAAACTGCATATATGCAAATAAATAGTGAGGCCAACTAACTGGCCGTGGACGCCTGCGAGCGTTGTAGAAACAACAGCAATAATAACAATAATCGTGCCACATTTAGATAGCGCACACAGAGAAAAACGCTTTTAGCCAATTGAAGAGTTTAAACATTGGGCCAAGTATGAAATTTGTTTGCCCATCTCCCTGGCCGCCCCGTGCATCACCTCCTCGCACCCAAAATGTTAAGTTGCCGCAGTCGGCTGCTTATCTCTGGCGCTGCTTGCAACATTCGCTGGGGGCCATTTTTACTTTTTGGGTTTTCGATACGAGAGCCGCTCCGCCGCTCCGCCGCCACGCCCCCCGCCCCTTCGTCTTTATTGGGAGGACCAAGAGCTGCTGCCCAAATGCAGTTGGCCTTCTGGGCGTGTGGGAGCGTGTGGGAGCCAGGTATGTGAGCGTGAGTCGCTTGAGCCTTCAAAGAAAATTATTAACCACTAATAAAATAAAAATAATAAATCCCAGAATGGATATTTCTAACAAGGTACCATCCAGCCCTTCATTACTTTGTTATCAGTAACAGAATTTAAAGAACTGTGTGTATCAACAAAACAGACCAACTTAAGTGGTTTCATTATTATGTATTGGTTATTCTATTATTATAGGTATCATAGGCGGATCCAGAAGGTGTGTAAAAAAATGTGCTGAGTAGAAATAAAATATTTGGAATACAAAATTTGGGGTGGTCTATCTTCTATATCCGTCCCGTGAGTCTGCTCATGTATCTCATTAACATCTTATTATATCATAAATTATCATATCTTACTGCTAAACATAAATACGCCATCGGTAAACTATAAGCAACCCATTTTTTTTTATAAACTGGAAATCTCTTGTTTATCTAAAAGTTTGTTTTGTATAATCTAAATGTATTCAAATTAATCGATAACAAAATTTGATAGCCACTCATGTATATTTGTCGTTAAAGATATGGTTATTTAAGGACATTAAATATTTCTTAAAATAAATTCTTATTACCTGCCTGTGACTTACTAGCTTTAGACTGCGATTGAAAAATTCATGACTCGATCCATATTTATCCCTTGCGAGGACTTGTTGCTTTAGCAATAGTGTTGACAATCCAGTTTGTATAGTGATTTACATTTGTGTAAATACCGATGCCATTACAAGATGAAGATCCAAAGCTAACAATGCCGAACTGGAAAGTACGACGAGTTTTCCCACTACTGGTTCCATTCCGTACATTATTATATTTTATCTTGGCGGCTAAAGGACCCCCAGAATCCCCAGCACATGTGTCGCTTTTCTCAATACCAACACATAATTGCGATGAATCAAGTTTCTGGTTAAATATAACATTGCAAAGTTTACGATCGTAAAGATTTAAAGTGGTTGTCTGTAGAATAGGGCTTGTTACGCTAAAACTAGTCCTGCCCCATCCAGTGGCAGTAAATTTTTGATGAGGTCTAGGTAAGGGCATTTCGACAGACAGACAAATCGGCCTGATATAGTCTGTAAAAAAGGGTTTTAGTTTTGGGGGTCATCGCAGGTTATAATATTTAATTACCTGAATACACAACCTTCGTGGCCATTCGAAGTAAGGCAATGTCGTTTTTAGTACTTAGACCGAAATTGTATTGAGGGTGTATAAATTGCCCATTAATGTTAATGACAAGGCGGCTGGATAAGCAATCCCCACTGGTGCATTCTGTGTCGTATTCGCCCAATCTAACCTCTCTGAAAATAGAAAGAATTTAGTTTCTTTTGCAAAATTAAACGCATTTACGTACTTTGGCGTCGAGGAAAGACAGCTCGCTGAAGTCAAGACAAAAACTGCAAAGGACGAAAACTAGAATTAATAAAAACTGAAATGAAAATGGTCAATTAAACAACTTACGAGAGGTAATGAGCGAACCGCCACAGAACGTATCATTCCCGATCACCATAACCATCCACGGATTCGCGAATCTGTCAGCATTATGGCCTCCCACAACCCGTCGAACTCTCGAGGGATGCCTAATTGTTCCACACTCATTGGTAAGCAAGGAACTCAATCCTTCGCTATCCCCAAAAAACAAAGAAGCTAATACTGCTAATAGTCCCGCTGCGAAGACCCTCATGTTTACAATAAGACTGAATGGAAATTTAAAGCTCAATGTGCTTTATATATCATTTCGGGTTATCTTATAGAGTAATTAAACTTTTCTGCAATTGTTTGTCATTATATTATTTTAAGTTTGATGATTAACTTACTCAAAAGACCCAATTTGAAATTTGTAAGTACAATCTGCTCAACTCACTCGGCAAAGAATAATAACATCCGGTCATATATCGGTATTCGGATTTTTTCCAACTACTCGTCTCGCTCTCTAACTTATAGGAGAAACTGTTTTTTATTTGTTTATATGTTTATTAATCAAAAGATATATTAAATATAAAAATATTAAATAAAACGAGGTCAGTTTTGCAAGTTTCTGGCCTAGGTCTCTTCTAGACATACTATGATCATTTGGCTTTTCCCAAAAAAAGTTTGGAATCTTTCTCGATAAAAGCTCCATACAACTATTTCATGTGTGACCTCGTTCGATATCGATTAATGATTAATCCAAAACTTGCCTCAGCAAAAAAATGGATTTAACTCGAGCACATTTTCGGGATTTTGATCATTGTTCTCATCTTACGACGTGGATTATCACAACAAGAGTGCATCAATGAACTTAAATCTGTGTATGGCGAAGAAGCACCATCCTACATACAAACAAATTTATTGGTAAAATTTACTAATATAATAGTAAAGCGGTCCTCAACCATCGAATTGTCAATTTTAGCCGTCAAATAGTTTCTCTTACGTAATACGTAAACATACGGGTTACTATAAAAAAAGTTAAATAACTATAAAAATGGGTAGAACGGACCCAACCCATGGATTGTAGTTAAATAACTATTTTAAAGTTATCCAACCCATAAAATATAGCTGATAGTTTTTAAGTAAAGTCTCTTGTTTTTTGCTTGCAAGTCTAGTGGTTCGTGACGCTACACTCAGTTGGGAATTATAAACAACCCAAAAGAGATAGTTTGTAAAGTTATTGTTGCATACTTTCGTGTGAAAGATTTTTCGTTAGGATAACAATTTATAATAGTAAAGTACCATTTTTTATAGTTACCAAACTATTTGCATTGGTCAATTTTACCATACGTATATTTACGTATTTTACGTATAATATAATATAAGCACTGCTTACGCCTTTCCAAAACACTTTGAGAGCTTTATAGGCAAATAATCACGATTTTAAACGGGTCTAAAGTCGTGTCACGCTGCCAATCCTGTCGTGTGTTAAGTTGGCCGTAAATACTTTTGGCCTCGCCTGGTGTTTGGCATTTGGTGTCTGCTGTCTGCTGCCCAAGTGCCTGGATACTTGGATACTTGGATGTTTGGGTGCCCTGGTGTCTTACCGGTCCTCGCTTTTTGGCATCTGCTCTTTAGCCCTAAGCTGGGATTCGTATTCGTTCGGTTGTTCGTTTATGAAATATTTGTGCTGCAACTTTATTTACAATTTTTTCGGTTATTTATTGTTGGCAATTTATGCTTTCGTTATGCATTTTTCGTTTCTTGTATTTGGTCAGTTCTTGCATTCTGATTTATTGGTATTGGTGTGTGCTTTTGTGGGCGTATTGGGAGCCCTGTATGCTTGTATTGTCCATATTGAAATGAGCCCACACACGCACATCCACATATATGTATGTATGCGAAAGCCAAACAAGTTGTGAAAGAAATTGTTGGAAAATGTTGCTAGAAATTCGAGTAAAATTGCATATTTCTTTTAATTGCATGTGCTGTGCTCTGCTGGTAAGGCTCAAAAATTAGTGGTTGCATATGGGAACAGAGTGCATCAGAGGCGTGAACTTTAAGGGGGTTCAAAAATTTCTGGTCTCTTAAATGATTTACAGAATATTTAATGCCCAAATTAAAATGTTTGGTAATGTAATGGTAAAATCTTAAATTCATTTTAAACTTAAGAATTGATAACATAGCATATCTATTCACACAAAAAAATTGTATGGGTAAAATTGACCAATGTTGATAGTTACATAACAGAAAAAAAAGGTAAACGCCTTTTAAGAATAATTAAGCTCATTTGTGTTCCAATTACCAGTTTAAGATGAGCGATTTAAAATTGTTTTTACACCTTAAATAAACCACATAAAAGCAGTAAAACATGTTTATTTTTTTCACAGTATGCTCAATTGTAATTTAACAATTGTTTTGGTAAACAAAATATTTCAAATATATATCTATAAAAATGCATTAAGTAGAAAAAAAGAGTACCCATAATTTTCAATTTTGTAATTAAAATAAATATAACATTCCCTTTGATTTAAATTTTTCCTGAAGAACGCCACTGCTTAAATGGTTGCGATTTCTCTTAGTACCTCATACGTATTTATTTCTTATTTTCAATATTTATGCTGTCTGCTGAATTTTTGGGCAATTGTTTCTGGCATTGTTCTTTCGGCTTCTTGTTTTGGCCATGGACAATCTGCAATCAAAATCAAGGCACTTGAGAGATATATCCTCAAATTGAACATGACACATTTGTTCCGCTCCATCTGCGCCTAATGAAGGTTTCCAATTTCAGTTTCGGGTGAGGATGAGTGCCAATGAGGAGCAAGTTAAATGGCAATCCCGCAGAGGGACGAAAACCTTTTCATCATTTCCTGCAGGCCAGTGTAATTAAAGAGCCAAAAAGAACCAAATAACGAGGCCTCCGAGTAAAACTCTTAAAATCTCCCCTTGATTGAACTGGACTCGTGCAGTTGTCAGCAAGCAGATGCAGATAAAGATACTCGTATCTGTATTTGTAAGTACATTTCACTGCAATTTGTGCAGTGATTTTATGACTTTTATTCTCTACGATGTCCACATAAATTCCGAACTGTTATTCTTATTTTTTGTTGTTTTTGCTTCGACAGTCATCATATATCAATGTCCTTGCAATTGATAATGGAGTGCAGCTGAGTATAAAAATCAAAAGCTGGCCACGGGGCAAACATTTGATCTGACATTTGTTGTTTTCTTGTCTTTTGTCTTATTTATGTTTATTTACCTAATGCCAAGTTATCGTATTTAAATCAAATATTTGACTAAAATATTATTTCTCATAATAAGAAAAATCTTTTGAGCCTTGAGGTCAATCTCACTGCGATTGTGTGCGTTTTGTCGATATTAAATGCAAAAATAATCAAGTTATCGCTCGCCGATGTGGCCATCCATTGGCTGTCAATCTGCGTTTAAAATGCCTCTATACGGATTTTTGCATTTGCCCTCTGACCCCGCCACTCCCCGCCGCCCCGCTGGCAACTGCAATCAAAATTGCAAATACAATAATATGAAAAGCACAATGAAATAAATTGAAATACCTCAAGCTATGTAAATGGGCCAGCTCCAGCGACGGGGCAGCGGTGTCCGGCACACGCACTCGTTGACCCCCAGAGCCAGTGCCAAACACACACACACCCACTCAACACACTCCCAAATGGGCCAGGTTAAAAAGAGAAAAGGTTGCCGACCTCCACTTTTGGCTTTTGTTGTGCTCTTGGCCAGGGAGTTCTAGCCCTTAGCCAATCAAAAGGTTACCCAAATGAGGAAAGTAGTTTATTTTCCATATTCTGAGATAAGTTTTATATGGTGGAAATAGTTCCTAATATTTTATAATAGACTTTTAGAAATTAACAGTAAGGGATAGTATTAAAAATGTATTTCGAATTCAAATTAATTGATGATTGGTTGAGTTAAGATGTAAGTTTTACTAGAATGTAAAATCTTTCTATGTAAATCCCATTCATAAATTTTTGATTTCCTTTACAACACTGTCAAAATGGTTGATTAACAAAAAATAATGTGACTATAATCTATTCGAAATTTTATGAAATATATATATTACATGTATATATATATAATCAAGTAAGAAATGATTTCAAAAGGATCCATTCTGAAAGTAAATATTTTTTATTGTAACAGGATGCCACTCTTTTTGGATCTGCAACCTTATAAAAACACAGGGTGTTTCCCATTCGTTATGACCTTTTTGGACATCCATGTTCCTTTTTTTTGGCATTGCTGATGGGGGTCTGAATGCTGTTGCTGTTGGTGGTGGGACGGCCTCGTAATCAGCATTTGTGGCGCTCGAGGTCATCCGCAAAGTCTGCAGGCGTTGTCGGAGTCGCCGTTGCCGTCTTCGTTGTTGTTGCCGTTGTCGTTGTCGTGTTGCATGTGGCACAGCAGCAGCAACAACAACGAGAGTTCCGTATGACGCCGCTTCATCTTCCTGTTTGTGGCCGTGGGCCAAGTTCTGGGTTGGCTGGAATATTATAATTACAAGCGAAACAGGCCCCAGAGCTCTGCTCTCCTCTGTTTCGGCCCAGACATCAGCATCAGAACAGCTTTGGCTTTGGCTCGGGCTCGGGCTTGGACTGAAGCTATAGCTGTGTCAGTACACTGGGCCAAAAACCATGGTATTGTTTTGGGAACAAAGTTATTGATGTTTTCCAAGAACAGAAATATCTTAATGTCGAAATGTAATATTAAATTGAGCAATTTTTAGCACATTAAAAAGGGACACCCTTGTTCTACTTTGTCTAGAAAACAATACCTACTCTTTTAGAAATTTAGACAATTCTAAAACTAGAATATAGGTTTATTTTAGTGATAACAGAAAGATGTTTGTCGGCTAAATTTATCAGTGTGCCGCGTTCTAAGATAGTTCGATATTATTTTATTTATGTATAATCCTATATTCATTGTCCTCTTGGTATGTCTCTTTAAAGAGATTTTTATAATTGATATTTTTCTTTGAAAACTGTTACGGAATTTCTTTATATAAATACAAATAAAGTTGAGCATTATCCAACCTATACGCAAGTTTAAAGGACTACGGAAACGAGCCTTTGTTTTATATAGTTTTTTTTCAGTGTTTCTCGTACCTGGAGCTTTAGCAGCCATGACGACGAGGTGAATATATTGGCGGACAGCGAGTGGGAGTGAAAGGGGGTCGGAGATCCTGATACCCAAATGAAGTCGAGCCAGCGCCAAAGGTGTCCGCGCTGACGTTGTGACAGTTTCAGTTACCGTCTGTCTGATGGAGCGTGTGGGTCCGGAAGGGGGAGTGTGTGCTGCAGCGAGTGTAAGCCGGTTGCATGTGGCTATGTCCAACAGCTGTTGCCATTGCCACAGCTCGTTGACTGACTGACTGACTGATACATCCGAAAGGCCGCCGATGAAGAGGTCTAAGCCGGGCTCGAACAACTTCATTTCGTCTGGAGTTCGTGTGAAAATTATTGAGATACATTTCCCCCAGCGATGGACACACGATGCTCGAAAACGAAAAGTATCCCCCCGCAGCGGTTCGCCCCCGTCCCCTCCCGTCCGCGGCCCTTCTACCGCTCCTCTAAGCGGCGGACATTGGCGATTATCTTGTCCACGACTGTGAAACAAATGAGCGTCGTAGTCGCACTGAGCCAGAGATATTGCCCCAGGGACATTCGCCGCATTGTGGCTTCAAAGAAGATAGGTTTCGGTCTGCATCTGTATCTGTATATCCGTATCTGTTTCTGTTATGTGTTCCAAGGCAAGAAAAAGAGTTCCCACATTCACTATATGTGAGAATATCGCCCTCAGTTCGATTGGCATCTATTTTGGTGGGGGCCTTCCAGCCATGTTGGCTTATACACCCTGGGAGGCACCAACTATATTAACAAGCCCGCTAATGGTCGATGGTTTGGAAATAAAACGGAAATGGGTAAATCTAATTAACATATCTTATATGAAAATAATTAATTTAAAGCTTGTTAAAAACTTGAGTTATATAAAAATTAATGAAGAGATTCATTGTTGCCCATTTGGCTTAGATAAGAGTTTTGTTGTAGCTTTTTGTTGGAAATTTTCAATGAAAGTCTTATCACGACTCAAGAAACAATACAAAATAAATTCTTGTCAATTTAAATAAACGAATTTATGTAATGGTAATTTGTTTTCTTTATTTGTATTTGTTATCCGGAACTAAAGAAATTCCCCTTCAAAAGTCTTATCACGGGGAACGGAAGAGTATGAATAAATGAATGAATGATGAATAATACTATGACGTCTGATACTATCAAGAACCCAGCATAAAGCGTGTGAAATAAAAAAAAAAATAAAAAAACCTAATCCGCAGCAGATATAATGGAGTGGAATTATGATTCACGCCTAATAATTATTCCCCTTTTTTTCGGATTTCTAAGCTAAAAGGGTACAAAAATCGACAAAAGCTTGACTTCAAGTTTTTGCTTTTAAGATTAAAACGTTCAAAACAATAAATATGATATTGTAAAATATAATTTACAACAAAAATAACAATTTTAATTTGTAAATAAACAGAGGTAAGAAACTACTTTCTTATTTTAAGAGTATAAATTATAATTCTTAAATCTAAAAATGTCTTAAAATATCTTAAAATCTGGGAAGATTCTCCTGTAATTGGAGTTTTAGTTTGAAAGTACTCCCATTGATTGGTGTTTTCTCTACTTCTACCTCTAGGGGCGAGTTGGATTTCGTTCTTGTCAGGCCAGTGGGCAGATTTCATATTCGGATAGTGAAAGAGGAAGGTGGATGGGAATGAGAAATCGCCCGCCGGGCATTCGCAAGATACTCTTACTCTTCGCCCCTTTCGTTTCGGATATACAACAGTCCGCATTGTTTGTTGTGTTTACGTTGTAAATGGTTGTTGCAACTACCACTTCCCATCAGCCGCGCTTTATGCCGCTTTCTGGGCCTCGAACAAGTTCGATGTTGGCTGTTGCTGCCGAGAAGTATCTGTGATTTACGAGCATCTTTAGCAGCTCACAAAAATGTTTTCAAATTACACAAATTGTGCCATGCGGGCCAAAGTTGTAGAGGTATCTTCATCCCCGGGGGTTAAGGCCACGGATTAGTCGGCCTGGGGCCGTGACATTTATCCGATGTCAGAGCTATGGACTGTAGAAGGGGTGGTTAGGGTGGGCAGGTGGATGAGGAATGGCCATCTACTGTTTTTCCACTCTGCCATTCCTTTGCGGACAATGGAATTTCAATTTACCAACGACGGAATGTTTTTGCAACACGCGCTGGCAATTTAAATTTATGCATGAACATTTTCTAATACCACTTAGAATAACAGAAATAATTTATTATTTTTAACACTTTACAATTTCCGCGCACTCTACGTGTGCGTGTTGCATGTGTGTTTATGGGTTTTCTGTTCTATTTTGGCAAAACAACAAAGCTTAATATTTGTTTTTCATTTGTTAGCCCGGCACCAGGTGAGACACGGTGGGAAATGAGGGGCGTGGCACCGCGGAAGAGGCGTTGGAGCGCAAGTCCTATTCAACACTTTGTTGTGGAGCGTAAAACAGCAAAAATATCCATTTATAAATATTTTACAATAAATATTTCACCATGGAAACAGAACGGAATAATAGCGGCGTGCCGTTCTGTTATTGAAATGCAAAATGTTTGATTAAAACTTCAATTTCGCTAGCCCATCAAAATATGGGAGCTCTGAGCAAACGCATCAGATAGTAGAAACTCTTCATAGGCAGTCCCGAGCTTTGCAACTTGGCCAGATATCGGTTTTCTTCATTTACACTGTAGCTGACATCATACCACAGGATGTAGACCAAGTAAAGCACGGTGACCAGTAGAAAGATTAAGCTATAAGTGTGATTTGCATCTGAGAAGGTAGAGGCTTTTTAAATATATCTTTCTTACAAATAGCATTCTTCTTACCGATCAATTCCAGTACAAATTGTATCTTCTGTGAAGCCCAGGCCTTTAGAATATCATCCACATTCACCTTTTCAAGAATTTCCTTTGAGTCCTCTAGGTTCTTTAGATCCTTCGGGTCCTTTGGATCCTTTTTGACCAAAGAAGCCGGTTTTGTCGGGGGAATATTGCGAGCTGCTTTTTGAAAGATTGCCCTAAGGGTTTCCTTTGGATTTTCGGAATATCTGAATGACTCCATATCGGATTCTACAACATGTGGCTGAACCTCAGCCTTCTGTATGCTTAATGCCGTTTTTTGGATTGTGTCCTGGTCTTGAATGGTTTTTGGGGCTGTGATAATGGGACGGGAACAAAGGGTTTGAAGGCTCTCTGGAAACTTACGATACAACTGGTAGAAGAAAAATATGTCACTTAATTTTCATTTTAAGTCCAATTTAAATTTATCTATAAATACATTTAATCTTAAAGATTACCTTACCTTACGACACGGTTTCGAGTTGAGTGGTCCAATTACTTTTTTAGAATATTCCTTATTTTTCTTCTGGTCCTGTAAAAAATACTTTATAGTTTAATGCTATGATATTAAATACTTTCAAATACTTGTTTCCTTGAGCCGTCCATAGCAGGCATTGGAGGGCTCCTTCTTCTGTCGTGACGAGGATTCTTAATCTTGATCTTATCCACCCGACTTCGCATATGAGTCCTAACATTAATCGGAACGTTCTCTTGGAAAGGGTCCTGAACTTTAACATGGCGTCGAATCCTCTTCCTTCCACCTGAAAAACCGCTTTCGCAGGTCTCCTCTTTATCCATAAGTTGGAGGGAAAGATTATAAAGATTCTTGCTGTTCGACTTAGCGCTGCGTTCCTGAAGGCTGGGCAAATCAGGTGAAGCCTTTAAATGACGATCCTCGATCCCCTTAACAGCGTCAGTGCGAATATGTCCATTGGGTGCTACAGTCGTACGACTGGCATAAACCGAAGTCAAACTGGTAGTAAAGTGAATGAACAGCGATGGATAACGAAATTAGGGAATCATTTATGACCAAGGGTATTCTAAAAACATAAAGGTTTAACTACTTACGATTCAGCCACAAACTTTTTTGGCCTGTATATCTCGACAAGGGTTTTGTCGTAATCTCTGCAAAGAAATAGATGGCCGAAATGGGAAATAAAGGTTTATTTATGGAAATTAACTTACTGCCTCCTGGGAATGACGTGTATTCGATGCATTTCTCTTTTCGATCACTGCTTTTAAACTGTGAGGTGAGAAAATAAAAAAAAATTGTAAAATGTTGGATTGTAATCTGTGTTGTCAGGTAGTGAGTCGAAAATATATTTGGCTTTCTATCCATTCGAATCGAGTGTCAAGGGCTGCTGTGCTGTCGACTCCTTGGGGGCACATTTCACACATTTTCGCATTAATATGCAATTAAGGCGGAATAGTTGCAACTAGTTGCAGTTGCAACTGGCGAGCTTTGTTCGCTGCGCAGGCGCATATCCCCGGGCGGTTCTCCACGACCCATCCTGGCGATCGCTTGGGGCGCTCCTCAGCTTCTATCTCCGGCTGTTTCCGTCCCTCCCCTCGCCAAACTCCCTTGGCCGCTCATCAAAGCGTCTAAGTCCTGCGGCAACATTAACACAGCGAAGCGCAAGGACCTCGCTGCCTCTGCCGGCGTCGCTGCCCGCCGCAGGACACTTTTTCACGCAGCGACGCTTTTTCGTACAGTCATCGTGCAGCGAAAGCGGTTCTCATCCGCAGCTCCTTTAACTTGGTTCCGCACTTAGTACATAAGCCGCTGTACATAAACAGATGGCCACTGGGCGAAAAAAGTTGGAGGATTATGCTGAAAGAGGAGATAATTATGGGTCAACGTACGTTACGTAAACTAAGGCATTTGTAAATGAAGTAATTCGTTCTGTACTATTATTACATTATTATTTTAAAACTCTTAAGGCATTCATGGTTTATTTTTGACTATACCCAACTCTGAATTGCTTGAAACCATTCTGAAATAAAGATCTATATGCACAACAAAGCACATATTTACCCCTGAAATGAATTTTGTACATCTACGTCGTTATAATTCCCAACCAGTTAAAGCTTTAAAGTCGTAAGAAATAATGTTAGTTATTAATTGGCCGATTGAAAAATTAGTGTCTTGTGACAATATTGTATTTTGGGGGATAATCCATCACTGGGTATATGTGGTATTTAAAAAACGTTTGTTAAAAAAAAACCCACCTGGATTGGGTGTGATCTCAATGTTTAAATATTAAATTTGATTTCAAGACGGTCTTAAATAGTGTCCCTATTATATTTGTATATATTTTCTGCTTTATATCAGTATTTTTTTTTAAGTGTAGCCCTTGCTGGCGGCCATTTGGTATGGCGCAACTAAAATGCAGTTGTTGTTGCTTTTTTCGCTTTTCGCCGTATTTGTCTTCTGCTGCTGTTGTTGCTGCCGCTGCTTTGGAATTGTTGGCGGTTCTTTGCCATCGCCATCGGCTATTTGAGGCAAGAAGCTGGCCAGCGGGCTCCAGCGGACAGCCAAAGCAGCTGACAGGACGCCAGACGATGACTTGACTCCGGCTTTGACTTGAAGAGTTGGCTGCCATTCCCTTGCCGTCTTTAATTGCGTTTGAACTTCGCCAAAAATGTATAAACAAAATACAAAAAACACAATACAAAATGCGAACAAAATAAAGAATTCGAAAGTCGAAATCGGAAAACCAAAATTGAATTGTTATTTATTCAATTAAAAGGGGCGGTCTGGGGCGGCAGATTATTTAGATGCCTAGAAATGCACTTTGATTTTGATTTTGTTGTATGCAACTGTCAGTTGCACGCATTTCCAACCGAATGCATTTGCACAGAGATACTCAAAGGGGGCATATATTTACGGGTGGTTTGGGTGGAAAAGCTTCGTTTGTTGCGCTTATTCATTCGAATGTTAATTAAATTGTATTTAAACTGCATCGACTTTTGACATATGCCTCGGCTGCGTTGCCTGCTCATTGAAGCGCCTAATTTGATCAGAGAAAAAGTCTCGTTTATGAAATGCATATCCTTTGACTGGCGAAAATCAGCATTAAAATGAACTCCTTCGTGGAACTGGGGAATTTAATGCGAGTAGTATTTAAACATGTGTCTACGAACTATGGGGAATTAAATTAATAACACACTTTGTTTATGAGGATACAAAAGAATTAAAAAAATTTAAACTCTTAAGAAATATGTAAGGTCCTTTTAATTCTACAATTTATATTATACCTTATAAACGTGTATAAAAATGTTAAAAAATTCGTTATGCAAAGAATGAATAGATGCTTTTACTTAGAAATGTGTTCTACTTATTTCACATCTTTCAACCGCAGACGATGAAAATGGCAGACAGGAAGCGTCATCAGGAATGCGGCACGGGTTCCGTTGAAATTGTTGAATGCGCTTCCTGCTGCACGGGAAATTAAAAGGCTGCCAATGCGGCGTATGTGTAATATTGGGGCACACACTCGGAGACAATGCTCCTCCGAACGGCAGAATGGCAGATAAGCGGGGGCTCGCAGTCGCCATAATCATAACAATAACAATGCCCGGCTCCGTTTCGGAGTCATTAAGCCTCGTTTTATGGCCATTGTGTGGGGCACAGCTCCTCCAATGGATCCTATCCTATACTATCCATCCTGCCCGTCCCGTCCAGTTGGCCAATTGGTGTGCATATTTGGCTATTAAGTGCAGCTCGGAGCTGTGCGGGCGAAAGAGTTATCTTTAAGCCACTAAATTGCCACCGATAAACGCGGCCAAAGCAGGCGGAATACTTAATGGCAGGGGAGCAAGGGGACAGAGGGGGCTACGGCTAGCCAAAACTTTTGGCCATCCCGGCCATCGTATCAGCTGAAAGAAATTTTAATTAAATGTCGCCGCAAACGATGCGGTAATATGCAACGAGTCGAACGGAAACGGAGTCGAGAACCAAACCAGAACCCATTGGTGTCGCATCGCAGGTATGGGGGCATTATTTTAGCGTTCAATATGATTGCAGCCTGGCGGGCCATTTGCCATTTGGCTCAATTTATCACAATGCCAGCCGAGTGCCAGAGTGCCAGAATGCCAGTGCCGGCCAAGCCGGGCCGCTTGACCAGAAATCAGGAATCAGAAATGAGCCTGAATCCGAATCTGAGCCTATCCCCAGCCGAGCCTCATTCCGCTGTCAAGCGACTCGACTGCACTTAATACCGTTTTCTGACTGCCGTGAATTGCATTTCATGTGTCAGCGTTTTTAAGCGCTTTTACCCCCCAGCGTTTTCGGGGTATTCCGATTTTGGATCTCGGACTGCAGTCCCTCCATTGACGGCTAATTTATAGAGTGAGAAATGCGCCCCCAATGCGAGCTGAGCTATTTAATAAGCAAACAATGCGGGAGTAATGCGAAAAGAAATGGAAAATCCTTTGGCCCTTGAACTGCCCTGGGTTACGTGATGGGTAGCGATGGGTTCGGGATTGGGACTGGGCGGGGTTGGAGGTCACAATCACAGTCGCCTTGCAGCAAGGGGTGCGCTCACCAGAGATCCACAGTGAGCCCTGATTATAGTTATTCTTATTTAATGTTAACAAGGTTTTTAAAGATTTATCTATATGTACTCGTAATATTCACAATCCAGTTCATATAGTGCGTAACATTTGTGTAAAGACTGGGGGCATCGCAGGTTGGGGTTCCATAGCTGATGATACCAAACTGAAAAACACGATTAGTTTTTCCATAGGGTGAGATTGCACTTAATGGTCCTCCCGAGTCTCCGGAGCAGGTGTCGCTGCTCAAACTACCGGCACATATCTGAGTACCGTCATTCTCTGATTGAAATAAGTCCGTACACTCCGTAATATCAAGATAGTTTATAGTGGCTGTCTGTAGAATACGGCTCGTTGGAAAAATATTCGTTCTTCCCCAGCCGGTGACCCTAAATATGGAAATAGTTTCTCGCACTTTCTCATTGACAAGCAGGCAGATTGGCCTGACATAGTCTATAGAAAGCCATTTAAGTTCAGAAAATCAGTATGAGGTATTACATTCACTTACCTGAAAATATCACCTCTTCTGCCATTAGAAGCAGAGCTATATCATTCCGAAGGTTTTCAGACTGATATGCTGGGTGGATAAAACTGTCAGCGATATCAATACCATAGGTTCTTGGTATGCAATCCGACGAAGTGCAACCTTTAATGCTTTCCCGATCGTATTCGCCTAAGCGCACTTTTCTACAAAAGTAACAATTTGTGTTTATCTATTAAGGAAAAACAAAGGAAGATCTTACTTAAATGATGCGGAAAGGGTATGTCCGGCGGTCAATACAAAGCCTACAAAACATCAGTTAGAAATAAAGTTCAAATACATATAAATCGAAATACAAACGTGAATTTATTAGCGAGCCTCCCGCAATCGAATCGCCAAGCAATATAACCATCCATGGATTTGATAATATATCTGCATCTTCTCCTCCAGTCATTCGCTTGTTCCGTGGAAAATGCGATGTTAACCCACAGTTATCATCTAGTAATTCAGCCGATATTTTAGTAGATCTAAAAAATAGGGTGACTATAATCAAAGCTCCGAATACGAAGGCGGTCATGTTTCAGCAAGTACTGAATAATCACTAAAGCACTTATCCAGACAACTTTTATAAATGAAAACATTTTTCAATGAAAAAAACTTTACGAACTGACCGGATACACATACGGTAAGATTGTAGATTTCGCAGCAACAAAAGGGGGATTTCCTTGCTTTTATAATAAATATAAGATAATAATTTTAAAATTGTGTTTGCACAAAACCCTCTTTATCATTAAATTTGGGAAATCTAGCAAGTGCGTAGAAACGATTTCGGACTTCAAAGGATGAATTTAAGGTCTACAAATAGGTTCTTAGGGGGAGTGCGATAAGCTGAGCAGTCTGAAAGAAGATATGTTACTTTGTAAGGGATCCCACGGTGTTCTTTCATAATTCCAAAACTTTAAAACGACACCTTAAACTTTGACTACACAGGAAAAAAACAGTAAACATCTCTTAAATCAAAAAAGACAGTTAAGAGCGAAATATAGCCTAAAATAGCGCTGGGCAAGACAGCAATATTCGATTCTCTCCGAAATATAAAACGATAGCAATATGAAAGAACATCTAGATCTAGAAAGAATTGTTAATTAAATGAAAATATTCATTATAAAATATACATTTTTCTCTCTGTGGGGCAACGGTGGAGCTAAATGGATAAGGAGTACTGCCTCTATCTGTACCTTCCAATAAACAAATGGTTTGTCTTATAACACTTTGCAGCCAAACGTGTTTATAGGGATAT